AAGATGCGGCAGGAGGCGCCGCCGTGGCCGGTGACGGGGCGGACGGCAACGCGCCGCGGACACCCGCTCTTCCACGTCTTTGGGCAGCCGGGTGGCGGTGCGCAGGCGGCGATGAACCGCATTTTCGACGAGTACAGACGCACCGGCAAACTCGACGGTAGCATGAGCAGCGGCAACATGCACTACTCGCAGGCCCCGCCAAGCGCCTTTGCGTCCTACGCCGCACCCTCCGCGGAGGCGCAGGCGCGGTATGTGCGCATGCAGCAACGTGCGCGCCGGGCTGCTGACGTAGATGAGGCGGTTGGCCTGCGCGTTATTGTTGGCGTTGTTACTGTTGTCATGTTCGCAATCTTCGCCATGGCGGGNGTAACAATCTCACGGCGAAAGGCGGCGTGGAGGAATGACATCGCGTCCTCTGCACCGACCAACAGAGCGGAGCAAGAACAACAGCAGAAGCAGCAGCAGAGGACTCGCCTCATTGATCGGGAAGGATAAAGAGGCGGGGCTTTGATATCGAGGTGCTAGTGTGACACAGTTGATGTTTCGGCGTCACCAGTGTTTCTTCCAACCCCTCTCCATCTCTCACTCACTCACTCACTCGTTTTCTTCGAAATGCTCCTTCCGAAACGAAAAACACAGTCAAGGAGTGTGGGCTGAAGGTAGTCGGCGGAGTGGAAAGTAAAGTGGGGGAGAAAGAGAATGGGAAAAGAGAAATGGGGAGATGGATCAAGAGAAGAAGTGTGGAGTAGTGTGATGTTCGCGGCTTACTTCTGTTCGTGTGTTTATGGAGTGCTGTTTTGAAACAAATTCTGCCTCTTCTTTCTTTCTGTCTCTTCTGTGGATCCACTTCCCCCCACCCACCCCTCTGCCGTGCACACGCCGAAGTATCTAGTGCGCGACTCCTCACCATCTTTGTGTTTGCGCTTGCAGTCGGTGGCTGGCGCAGGCGACGAATACAACCCACAAGAAGACAAGTGAAGAAGGGGCCAAGGGAACGAGCAGGGAGAAGGAAGGGAATAGGGCGTGCGTGAGGGGAAGGTATTGGTTTGTTGTTGCGCAGTGCAGAATACTAACTGTCTGTGCCTAGTACCACAAGCACCAAAACACACGCACACACTTACATACGTAGGCGTACGGTGTTCTCACTGGCTTGCGTGCGTGCGTGTGAACCATATATCCATCTGCATATACAGATATATATATATATATATATTTATATTTATATTATACGTGACAAATATAGTGTCTCTGGGGAGACCTGACGCGTGGGTGTACTTTCACTCCCCATCACACGATAGAAAACAACACGGGCCGCGCTGTCCGCGTAGGCAGCAGTCTCTGCCCTGACTAACACTACTGTGGGAACTGGCAGAGGCGTGTTTCAGGAGATGACAAGTCCTATTTCCGAGTCCACCTCTGCAGCCGCAACAACAGTAGCACCAGTGGCGGTAAGATCTGCTAGCACGGAGGTTCCATCGAGTGAAGAAGGGCATGAAGCACTTCTGCATGAGCTTCTCGGTGGTCCAGTGCGTCCGTTCCACGAATGGAAATGGCATGAGGCCGCAAACTTCAAGAAGCTTCACGAAACTCGGGGTGACAATTCGTTTACGGCGACCAACGTGACAGGTGAAATAGCTTCTGGATGTACAGGCCCATTCCAGCCGTACCCTGGCGCCCCGTGCACTCACTCCACTACACTCCTGCATGAGCGCGTCGGGTGTGAGGTATCGTGTAAGGCGCTCTGCGCTGCTGTTGAAGCGCCTCGGAAAGAGAGCATATCTCCGTTGTGCGAAGACACTGCGATGCAGGCGTTGACGCCACTTCTGGACAACTACACCATCCCCATCTCGCACCAGGGACCGGAGTACTTCGACAGCGGCACGCAGGCGAGCGTGGCGTCGATCTGCGTCATCATGGTGGGTCTGCCGGCACGCGGCAAGACATTTCTCGCGCAGAAGATATGCCGCCTGTTGGGGTGGCACGGCTCTCGGGCAAAGGTGCTCAATGTGCAAGTCGCGTGGCGACGTCTTATACTCGAGTACAAGAAGTGCCGAAAAAGTATGGAGTGCTCACCAGTTCTTCTCGCAGGTGCGGTGACATCACAAGCAGAAAGATCTATCCCGTCGTGCTCCGGTATGACGTCGGCGATTGCGGCAACCGCTGTGGGTGACGCCGCGCAAGACGCAGGCATCCCCGACAACCGGGGCGATGAGTGCATTTCCGCCGCGCAACCAACATCCTCCCCCAGTGGCTCACCAGAGCACCAGCGTCAGCAGAAGCAACAGAGTTCTGACTACCTCGGCGCGGAGCATTTCCGTGCGCTCGTGAGCGAACCTGATAGCATGGAGCGCCGCATGTATCGACGTGTGCTTGAGCGGTACGCCGTCGACGCGAAGAGTTTCTACGCGAACGGTGGAGAGGTGCTTGTAGTGAACGACGATTTCCCGACGGAGGAGCTACGCGACGAGGCGGAGGCGCTCTTTTCCCCATTGGCCTCGCAGACGTTCTTTATGGAGGTCATCCGCGGCAGTAAGATGAACCAAAAGTTTAACGAGCTGAAGGTGAGCGACGCGGCGGAGTACCCCACCCATCTGCAACCCAACGATGCGATGGATGACTTTACACGCCGTGTCGAGTACCTTGCAAGTGTCTACACCACGCTTACCTCCAGTGCCGTAGACGAGGAAAAGGACGCTGGCGCTCAGGAAAATGGGACCGATACTTCTCTGAACAATGTAGATGCAGATGTAGGCACAGTGAAGAAGCGACGAATGAAGCGATACGTGAAGCTGGTGAATTCTTTGGAGATTGAGGTACATGGTGTGACAGGTTTTACGGCAAGTCGCATCGTCTCGTATGTGATGAACCTCACCCAGATGAAGGTTCAGCACCCGATTTACTTCACACGCCACGGCGAGTCGCTGTATAACCTCGACGACCGCATAGGCGGTGATCCCTCCCTCACGGCAGCTGGAACTAAGGGCGCAATCGAGCTACTTGGTTTCCTGGCTTCCCTGAAGGAGAACTACACCACAAAGGCACAAACCAGCAGGCAAAAAGAAACCCTTGATGGGGTCTCCAATGCGAAGGGTGAGAGCAGAAAAAGTGACGACAAGAACCAAACTGACAGTGATCGTCAGGCCGTGGTGGAAATATGGACAAGCCAGCTGCGCCGTGCGATACAGACAGTGGAGCCGAGTGAGACTCTACTGGGCATAAAGACACTGCGGTGGAGCAGTCTCAACGAGATCCACGCGGGCGTCTGCGAGGACCTCACCTACGCCGAAGTGCGGGACAAATACCCGCTTATTGACCAGTTTCGCAGGAGCAACAAGTACACCTTCCGCTACCCAGAGGGGGAGAGCTACCAGGACCTGGTGATGCGTTTGGAGCCGGTCATCATGGAGCTGGAGAACGCTGACCGTGTTGTGGTTGTCGTCGCCCACCAAGCTGTGCTGCGCGCGCTGCTGGCATACTACGGCAGCACGTCTGCGGAGAGTTGCGTGCGGCTGGCGGTACCCCACCGCACGGTGTGGCGCTGTCAGTACGACAGCAAAGGAATTGCCTCACTGGACGAGCTGAGCTTTTCAGAGCAGTGATTTGGGAGAAGGGTCTGCAGATCAAGTCCTTAATCGAGAGACGAAGCGACCGCAGAAACGAGAAAAAAAAGGAAATAACCCCGGATGGTAAACCCATTAAAGTGGAACCGAGCACATAGAAACAAGGGGCAGGGGAAAGAAATATGACGCATAGTTGATGGGCCAAGGCGTGCTCTTAGGTGAGGGCAGTAATGCTGTGGCCACAGCAGCTGCAGTGGGCGGAAGAGAGGAGGAGACGCTGGACGGGAGGCTGCCGGAAAGGGTGTGACATCACTCTGCGAATCACAATGGTCGGCTGTCAAAATGCCCACTGACGCTTCTGAAATATGCATGCGCGTATAAATGTGTGCTCAGCAGGATAATGAAACACACACACACACACACGCAACGAGAGAGACGAGAGAGACAACGAGAGTAATATGAGGGGCATGCAAGCGAGATATAAGAAAGGCGGCCGGAAGCCAAAGGCACCCAGCACCGTTAGAAGAGGTGGAATCGCCCTCCAAAAGGTATTGAATGAGTAAAAGGCAAGGCCCGGGAGTTGTACTTCCGGATGAAGCAAACTCTCTGGAGCGGGGAGTATGCGCCATGTGTAAGACAAACAACAACACAGGAATGAGAATAAAGAAGAGAAAAAATCCCATGAGTTGAATACACAAGAAGAAGCCAACAAGAACGAAAACAACAAAGAATCAAAAAGGGAATAAATATATATCTATATAAAAGGGTTGCTGTGATTTTTATTATTGCTCGGCGAGTTTTTTGCCTCACCGTATTCTTTTTTTGCGTGTTGAACGGGTGGGGGGGGGCTGGTCGGAGATTGGGCGAAGGGTGAG